ACTTGTTTTTCCATTTAATTAATGTGATTTTTTTCATTAGTTTTTTTTTTTATTTGTTTACACAGGGTAATCTGTATCAATTATTTTTAAGAAGCTGTGTGTACTAACTATCACCCAGTATGTACCATTGCTGCCATTTGATTTAAGTCTAAAAGGTATTAGACACTATGTGCACACTGGAAAAAAAAACCTACACATTTTTTTTGCTGATTCAAGGAACAACAATACAATAAACCTGGAACAGGTTATTAAAAAAACAAATTGTCGAAATTTAAGCTCAGCAAATATCCTACTGTTTGAAAAAAATTCGAAAATGCATCTTCAAGTTTTCTCGACGCAAAGCACGGTTTTTGTTTAAAGCCCTCTCTTCCAAAAATGTCCATTAACACTTTATGGCTTGCACACTCTTGTGGTATGATCCCCAGTTTATCGCCTAGGAAAATAATTATCATACATGGATATGTAACCGATTGCAAAGTAAACTATATTGGATGAGTTGGGGGCAGGATACATTAAAAAAGCTGGGTGTTTTTCTTGTAATGGTTTGTTCCTATAACCATTGCAATGATAATTCCTGTTTTTAGTACGGCAGATAGGTGATGGGATTGTGTCTTTGATGATACAAGCATGGCATTTGGCACACAGTCGGAGTATGTGATGAGAAAGATATCTGGCTATAGGGCCATTGCAGATTTGTCCTTTGAAAAATTATACTAGAAGAACAAGCAATGGCAGCCATTTTGAAAATTGTGAAAATTGCCTGTTATTCTACCTATATATTTTTTCAAAGGACAAATTTGTGATGGCTCTATAGCCAAATATCTTTCTTAACCCTAACTCCCTAGCATGATTTACTAGGAACCATACCCATCCTGGCAAATTCCAACACCATATGGGAAACTGTACACACATATTTTGTGCCAACCCAATGTAAAAGACTGCCCGTTTAGGGGTACTGTACCCATCCTGACAGATTCCAACAAAACATGCTGTTGGGGTTTGATGGGTTCAGTTCTGTTAGGGTTAAGACATACTCTGACTGTGTGCCTAATGCCATGCTTGTATCGTGAAGCACAATTGCCCAAATATTTCCCCTATATGCCCCACTTTTTCTCAAAAATGGCAGCATACATGTAGTACGCCTAGCATGGATTTCACAGGATGCTTGGTCCTATTTACGGTACTTACAGTCAAGTACCGGTAGGATATTTCATATTATCTTCAAGTAAACTTGGTTCCTTGATCCTGATTGGTCGATCCATGGCAACAACCCGTGCTACATATAACCATGTAGTATGGCCACGGTCCACGGCATACGGCATACTCTGCGTATTGCACTATTTTAAGATGCGAGTGCCTTCCGTAGAACATGCATGTACCGAAATAGGATAACCGCTGAAAAGTTTGTGTAGGGTGTGCCTGTTCAATCCTTACTGTGCTTCAAGTTTGCTGGAAGATAAAGTTGTTGTCGCGTTCACGCTCGTAGAACACAGAAAATGTAGTGCGTCTGTGTTCCACATACCACTCGGCCTTCGTGGCATGTGGGACACAGAAGCACTACATTATTCCTTATTCCACTCGCGCTCGCTCGGATAACTAATATCTTGGCATTTTCATTTTTGAATGTATGCAAATGGTGTCTGTTACCTTTAAACTTGCCCGGAAACTTCCACGATACAGGTTGAATAACTTTTTTTTTGTCAGCCAAAACACGCGCACTTGTATGTCACATGAATTCGTCATGTGGAGATAAGAACTAGAAACTTGTCACCAGGCCTTTACCGCACCTCAAGGATATTGAGATGAGAACGTTGATTTAGGTCAGCACAATATGCCAGTACGAGGATATGGATCTGTGGGTATCTGTTATCAACACAGCTCTGTTAGACATGGGTGAAGACGTAGGCAGACGTTTCGCCAGGAATTTTCTCATTTTGAGTAGGGGGAAATTTGAGTCGGTAAATGTTATGAGAACAGGTTTCGATAGCATCAGTTACATGAAATGCCAAATGGATAAGAGCATGGACACATTTCAGACGGGACCTTTTAAAATTTTTAGCTGCGGGATAGCAGGTCAACAAATCATCATGTCTCTCCGTTAGTCCGTTAGTTAGTTAGTAACAAACGTTGACATTCTCTATTGCTCCTACATATTTTGACCAGTTTCAACCAAACTTTGTCAAAACTCAAAAGTATCAGTAGCCCAGCCCCAACATGTCACATGACCAAACTGGGGTCAAATGTTATCGTGGGGTCACTGGGGTCGAAAAACTGATTTTTGTTGTTGTTCAAAACACTACTCCTTCCAGAAATTACATGGCATAATCACGTGACTCATGCATGAACGCCAATTCGTTGGCCGCAGGTTCTGAGATATTTCTGATCGAGCTTGTTTCCCCCTCCTTTTATTTTTGACGATTCCAGGCAGCGAAGTGGCTTAAATTCATTTGTTTCCATATTTATGGTTGCAGAGAAACCAGTAATCAATAATAAGTATTCCAAAAATGAAATTAAAAAATCAAAAAGAAGACATACTGACAGTGATAAGTGGAGGCACATTCCCACAGTGGCCTAGCGGCTGGGGGTGGGGTTAAAAAAAAGACCAAAAACAAGGGGGGGGGGGGGGGCTGGGGAACTTTAGGGTGGAGTTGGGGAAAGAAGGGAGGGGTAGCTGCTTTTGATCAACGCGCTGGACGCGCTATCTGCATGCGGCTTGCTTGTGCGTGACATGCTGTATGCAATCATGGCTTAAACCATCAGTCTTAGTCCGTTTCTCAAACCTTGGCTTCGTCTCTGTTTCACGCAAATTGAAATTTCAGGGAAAATAATTTGGAAACCCTCCCCCCTCCAAACAATATCTCAGTACACCACTGTATTCTCATAGTATAATGTAGTTATTGTAACGTTTTGCATTTTTATAAAACAGAGCCACAAAACCATAGTACCGGTACATTTTTACAGAGTGCTTGAATATTCATCATGTATGGTCAGTTGTCATGTTGTGGTTCTAAAAAGAATTGACAGCCTTGATGTTTAATTAGAAAAGCGATTACATATCTTCAGAAGATTGCAAAACTGCTTTCTGATATGGGACTATGGATGGATTACACGTATGTATAGCCGCTGGAGTGCTGTGTGGAAATGGATTCTTGTTTGTATGTTATCTTCACATTCAAGAAAATAATAGTTAATTTGCCACCGTCATTCATAATAAATTCCTGCCGTCTGTATATATCTGTTTCCATGCGCTGTTTGTAATCTAAAGCACCAACCAATATAAGTTTACATTCATTATTTTTTGCAGACAGGAGCCTCTTTTGTGATGTTGTTTCTTGTGCATTTTTCTCCTTCCAGAGTTAATCAAATATGCAAGCCTTTTCTTTTCAAACTCCTGTTTCGCTTCAAAAAATTACTTCACATTAAAATTCTATTTTGCAGACGGGAGCCTCTTTGTGATGTACTTTCTTGTGCATTCTGCTCCTTCCAGAGTTAATTAAATAAGCAAGCCTTTTCTTTTCAAACTCCTGTCTCGCTTCAAAAAAAAAATTGCTTCACATTGAAATTCTAAGCATGGTTTGAAGCTTTTTGTGTGTGTTTAGATAGGATAAAGAGGGCAATGGAAACCAAATGAAAAGATGCTATTAAAAGCCTAAGTTGTCTGATTGTGATTCAGAATGACCTTAATTAACCCTAACCTCCCAACTGCATCCCCCCATTTGGGGGATTTAGGTAGGACAAGCCATGAGTACCGAGTCCATCAAAATCCACCGATAGCAGTGGTGGATTTGTGGTGGATTTTAGCGGATTTGGTCCTGAAGCATTATGTGAAGCAGAGTCAGTGATGGATTTTGGCGGGCTTGGTACTGTTCTTAGTAAAACTCACTAGGGAGTTAGGGTTAACAGAAGCTACAACGTTTCTGTAGCTTCCTGAATGCATTAACACGAGGGATAATAAATCGGATATGTGCATAAATTTCCGAGTGACTTGAGTTCAACTGCGAGTGGATGAATTGTTATTCTTCTAGGAGGGTGTGAAGAGAAGTTGAATGACCGCCATCCATTTTTTCCCTTGTATAGTCAAACCCTTGGAAGACAGATTTTGTTTCCCCTCCCTGTGGAAATCTCATCATGATACATGTACTATGTAGTCATGCGTAATATGTTTAAGCCGTGGGGTTTCGGACAGGTGAGGGTTTAATGCTGGAGGAAAGCATACAGCGTAATATTCACCCATTGTGTGATCACTGGTCTGGAAAAGAAAGATCAGTGGCCTGATATGTGATGGGGCACCCAGCCCCGAGCAGATGAGTCGGAAGTCGCCGAAGCTAATTTTGGACTTGCGAGCGTTAATTGAGCAATTCTTGCACAATGGAAGTTAATAACTGTCGACATTTTAATAATGTGGTGCTAAGTAGCGCTTTTATACCAAAGGTCGCAAAGTGCTTCAAATCAAATCAAATCAAAATCAAATAATCTTTATTATATCTCACTGGGGTAATTTAAAATGCTCGCATACACAAATTCACAATTATTACTCCTGTTCATCAGGCAATGAGACCAGCTCGAGATCAGCGCGTTCTTGACTCTACCCTCACTGGCTCGCATTTGTACTCCTTGGTGGAGAGAGGCAATTGTAGTAAAGTGTCTTGCCCAAGAACACAGGCACCATCAGGGTTCAAACCCACATACCACGGCACATGAGTCGAACACCGTAACCATTTGACCACAGTGCTCCCTTTTATGTCCATATCCTCACTGATAAAATGAGTCCCAATCACAATCAAGCACAAAATATGTCTTGTAACTGATGCCAATGAAAAACTTCAAAGAAATTTAAAATATCTTTATTACTCAATTTCCTGAATCTGGTCACTTGATTTGCATCAATGTTCTGGGGAAAACCCACGGAATCCGGTAGGGACTGAAAACCCAATCCACATGTGGCCAGGGCAGGAATCGAACCCGGGCCACAGTGGTGGAAGGCGAGGAAAGAACTGCTACGCCAACCTGACCCTCCTTAAGCTGTTCAAATTTGTTTTACTGTTCTGCTTCTATTACTGTCATAACCTCTGAATGCACTAACTGCAAAACAAACTATATCATGTTTGTTTGCAATGTGTGTACATGGAAGTCACACCATTTTAGCAGGGTATTTCTTGGAACTGGCCACCGTTTTTGTTGTTGTTGTCGAGGGCCAGGGATTACTAGCCATTAAATTTGAGGGCCAGGGATTACTAGTCATTAAATTTGATTCCTTTGCGTGATAAATCTTGTTTGAGACAAATTACTTTGTGGTATTCCAAAGAAGAAAAAAGAAAAAAGAAGAAGCAGAATTGAAACGTGCTTGAATTCTGCTGTTGAATTATCAACCCTGGGTAGACAATCCTACAGTGTGAACAGAGCTTCACTATATTTTGGAGTCCACCCCATATAATGTCTGACCAAAATCCTTACTTATCTCCCCCTTCTTTTTCATGGCTGTGCAGTGACACACCCCTTTTTAGGATTTCCTTCTAATTCACAGGAACAACTCCTTCCTGATGATAGGCTACTCTGTGTATTTCCTGTATGCGTCCAGCATACCTTAGCTGTACTAGGTATTGGAAATAAATGAAAATGTCATTTCCTAATCCGGGTTGGAAATTGCTGCAGTAAATGTTGAGTTGTACTGTTGGGAAAGCGTGAAGCAGCACTATGGAACCCCATGTGAGTAACTTGTCATAATTCCATAGTAAAATGTCACAGTCATAAACAAAATGGGACCCAGACAAAATGTGTCATGTTTAGTCTTTGATTTGTTTTGTTGAACTAGTTGTCGGGAAATTGTATTGTAGTTCAATGAACATTTTCGAATCCACAGTTTTTGGTATGGAACATGTCCAAATTCAAGTACTTGTACTTGTAGTTGTTTTTATGATGTTTGATCATTGACGTGATTGTGGATCACACACCAAATAAATAGAATCTGAAGGGAATGTTCATTGTTTCCAACCTAATTTTGGGTACTTTGTGTTGTAATAATTCTTTTCTACTGTGTTTTAGGTGTTTTGGGTAGTTTTAAAAAAAATATCACGCATGAAACTCATGGAAGGAAATTTTTGGGGAAAAAACAGTTTTTATACAATTGAAGGTTAATACTGTTATTGGAAATCACAGACTTTTTGTTAATAAGAATAGCCAATTTCAGATATATATCAAAATCGACTTGAGAACATTTTTGTTCCGATATGACTTTCGTTCAGTTTCTCTTTTAAAGTGAAGGAGTATTCCCATTCCCGTGAGAAACTGCGGACGTGATAATCAGACATTTTTATTCATTTGAAAGCCTTGAAATGCTAAACCCTTGAGGCTATAGCTAGACCATATTCTCTCTAGATCTCTCTCTCTCTCTCTCGATATATATAGTAATGAGCAACAAGTTTTTTGGGGGGGGCTAGTTCAGTCAAGACGAAACATTCCTCAAGGGGTCTGTAGGGTTTTACCGCCACCGCCGCAGACATGCCAATAAAAATGTCTGATAGATACTGCAGATTAATGGTTGCCATAGATACGCATCAACATCGAAGGTCACTCGTCTGAGGGAAACAAGCGAGAAGGCAATGCTGGAAATGAACAGCTTCAATTCCTCGCCCACTTCAGAAAAGAGTGTTCACCAATTAACATGGGAAGTTTCTTGTACCGGTAAGAGGGATTTTTTGAAATAAGGCATCTGGCTTGAAACTGATTTGGATTTCCAGGATTCTTGGATCATGGAGATCCATCCCCACGGATGTGAGGAGAAACCTATCGCCGGCCACTTTCCTCCCCCACCCCCAACAGTGAAGGATAAAGATATTGGGTTGCTCTTTTTCTTTCTTGGAAATTTCTCCCGCGTTGGACTCCTGTAAACGTCACTCCCGGCAACAGTTTTACCCGAAGGCGATATTCCTTGGCTGCAAATCCCACGGATCTGATGGGATTTTTCTGGCCGGCTGGAAGGCTGCCTACTGATGAAATTAAATATCATGCGAGGTGTGTTTGTGGAGGTCTTGTTTGATACAAGCTGATGGCTTTCCATTACCGAAACCTACATCCAACCTGCCACACTTCCAGCTGTAGGCCGATTACCGCTCATGCATGCTGACTTACAAGCTGAAGGATACAAGTGACGCGGAATGGGTTTGCATGAATTCGTTGCCATGGTTTTGCAGCTACTTTGACGCTATTTGGCATATCAGCGGGTCTGGTGTACATGCGTGGACGTGCAGTAAGTGTAGGGAGGTGCGGGGGAGGAGGGATCCGTTTTTAGAAAAATGGGCCTGTCGATTAGAAGACTTTAATGAAGTCTGCTTTGTTTGTCTGGACTCGGTTTCGTCATCATGGCTGTGCTGACCACGGTGTTGTGAATTTATAATCACCTTTATTTGTATATATACATGTACAAGTTAAATACTAATCTATGAAATTTGCAAACCTTGAGAATGTAATTTTCTGCTGTTGTTAGGGGAAACTCTTCTAAATTGTGGCGTTAGTCAGTTTAGAGTTTTGATTTCTAGGTGGTACACAGCTTCATGTTTGCCCATCCATTTTTACTTATCTTTGGTATTTTATGTCCTTATTGGAAATATCTTACAAGTGAATTAGCAATATTTTGCTGCTGTTAAAAAAAATGGAATGACTTGAGAAAGGTATTCTGTTGCTTAGTAAATCGTCCAAGATCGACTACGGTTTTTGAAAAATGATGCAGTTGGAAAAGTTGCAAACTTAAAAAGATTACGCAAGGAGAAATTGCTAGGCGTATAACCGCACATGCACATGCCCGTAAGTGGCCCCTATCGATGGCACAGTGCCCGAACAAAGCGCATGTCATTCAAATAGCCCGCGTGCTCCCATGCAAACAAGCACTGTGCGATAGATATTCGCTGACGTTCATTTCTCGTGTAATCTTTTAAATTTGCAATTTTCCAACTGCATTATTTTTCATAAACCGTTGTCAATCTTAGATGATTTACAGTCTTTGGTAGCAAACGGGGTATCAAAATGTAGCTAACAAAACTCCCCAAAGGTCTATGACGTCATCATATGACGATGAGATTAAAAATTATGACTCCTCCACTGAGTGTGTGGACTTTCTTTTTTTGCGGTGTTTATATTGACAGCATTACAATACTAGATTAAAAATTGCTAGTCTCCGGAGAAATTATTTGCGCGTGTGGAATATTCGTCCATCAAGGAGCAGTCCGTTGCCGTAACTGTGAACTCTTTCTGCTACCATTTTGTGTCCAAAGATGTGTTTAAAAAGCCATTAACAGTGCGTGCTAATAGTCAATATCAATTTCCAATCATGTTTGGAGTTCTGCTCAAAAATACTTTCTCCTGAGTACTAAAAAAATGTGGATCTCGTGGCCACCTGCACAGCGAATTTGTAGTATTATTTTTCAATCCTTGACCCATATGGAGAGACGATGCGTCAGTGTGAAGTCGGATCGTAGGAGAGCAGATGTGTTTGTGTTTCCTGCGGGATCGCGACGGAGCACCTCTTAAAGGTTTAGACTCACCGCTGTTTTGCTCATCCAGTGTCATTGTGCGTATTAGCAGCATTACCCTCCAGTGCACTATAGATGCACCTGCTGCTCCGGTTGGGGCTGTTCATTCAACGACCGACTCCCATCCCTCAAAAGTCATCTGTCAAAATGTGTTTCAGTGGGGAAATTTCTCGCATTAAATACGATTAACCCCTGGATGTCGGGAAGTGGTGATGAACATGGTGGAATTCGTGTTAACGGATCCCGTGAGGATTTTGGTGCCAAAATGGTATTACGTTGCCAAAGCCTGCTACACAAATCACTTTATTTTATAGAACTATAATCATTTTGAGGGATAAGTACGGAATGTGAACCTTGTAACTCCATTTAGTTGGAATGGAATGACTAAGGTGGAAGTTTCACTTTCTCTTTTCCAGCTCGGGGAATTACCAGATATTACAATGGAAAGTGGTTTTATACCCAGCCGATATTTCTTGAGGAAATTTGAAGGAATTTCATGTTGACAACAGGTTTTTAATTCTTCTTTTTTAAGTCCCTTATCCAGAATATTCTTACCTTTTGTTTCATTTGTAAAACATAAAGAAGTTGGAAAGACCAAGGAAGATTTCCCAACACATAATCTGAGCAACTCTTCCATCTATTGCTTCTCTGTATGAGCAGCAGGTTTTTCACAAAATAATGCAACCCCTAATCAATGACCTTTTTAAATTCAACAGATCAGGTATCCGTCTTTGTGTCCCACCCACTTCACGTTGTCCCACTAGGAATTGTTTGTTCCAAATGCTATTCACCTGTTCAATAGGTCTGTGCATAGGTAATCACTGATAGTTAGTTACTGTCTACAGTGTGAGCAAAAAAAAATTGAAACCCAAATGTCTGGACCATTTTTTTCACATGTAGCACTTACAAAATCTAGGATATGAAAGCCCAATTCATAAGCTTTTGTTTAGTACAAGAATCATTCAAATCACTCATGTACTTTTCAAGTTACGGAGTTCTAAACACAGCCGCCGTTTTAAGGTTCTGTCCACGGATCACAAAAAAGTTCAGTGTTCTCTCAGCAACACGAAAACAAATCACATAAGGATGTGTGTGAACTGTTTTCGTTTTGCTGAGAGAACACACACCTTTTGTGTGATCCGTGGACAGAATTTTAAAACGGTGGTTGCGTTTAAAACTCTGTAACTTGAAAAGTACATGAGTGATTTGAATGATTCTTGTACTAAAAGAAAGTTTATGAATTGGGCTTTCATATCCTAGATTTTGAAAGTGCTACATGCAGAACTTTACTAAACCAACTGTCCCGACATTTGGGTTTTTTTTTTTTTTACTCACCCGGTATAGTGTCTGTTCATTCTTAACATCTCATTCTCGTTTGTATGGAGTGGGTTTGATAAAATTGTTTTTTGCTATGTTGATTAAAGAATTTCTTGTGCAATGTAGTGTGGTCTTCTTAATTTTAAATGTTTTGTATTGATTTATTTTTAAAGTGAGTCATAGTGATGTACATGTAGTGTATATTGTATTATACATTGGTTTAGTGGTTTTATGTAATGTTATTGTTTAGAAATGCCAGTGGAAGCTGAACTTCTATGCTTTTTAGCGTGGATAATAAACTTGAATTTGAAATTGAATTTTAACCCATTAGTGCCTGTACTACACAGTATTACCGGTACATTGTGGTTACAATGTAATACAGTAATACCATAGAGTGATTGGGTAGTTTTGGGCGGTACAGAGGGTAATAGGCAGGGTGGTTTTGGGCACTACAGCGACTATAAAGAGTTAATATTTAGCTGAATGATTTGCAAATAATTGCAAAATAGTGGTTGATGTTTGTCTTCTAAGTTTTCATGACAACAACCAGAGGACACTTTTTAGAACAGCATAGCAGGTTCTAATTCACAAAGAAATATGCAGATGATGCCACTGCATAATCCTCATTGATTTTCCTACCTTATTTCGTAATCTTTGGGGGGGGGGGGAACTAGTGAAGAAAATCTGTCAGAGGTTTTACAAGAAAACCACCAACATAGGGCTGGATAGCTCAGTTGGTAGAACAACAGTATGTTCTTCCAGAAGTCCCAGGTTCAAATCAAGCTCTGGTCACTTTCTTTGTTAAAGGCATATAGGAACATTTGCAATTACCTAGAAACGTACCTACTGAGTCAAAAAGAAAATCCTTGCTGATAGTGAAGATAAAACTAGTACCAAATACCCTGTAACATCATTCTGCCCTGAATGGTGTCATTTGGAAGAAAACAATCATTGAAGGTGGTTTAACCCTAACTCCCTGCTGTCTTTTACAAAGTACTAGACCAAGTCTGCCAAAATCCATCAATCACGCTTCCTACATGTATGCATGCTTTGCTTTAGGCCCCCAGGCCCAAGTCCATCCTTCTCCATCAATATTTAGTCAAACCAGGCCTGCAGGACCAAGTCCCCCAAAATTTACCAAAATGGGGGATGGATTTTGATAGAGTTGGGGAGGTTAGGGTTAAGAAAGTGTACCCATGGGTATATTTGGTTTTTTTAACGTGCGTTAGCAACAGAATGCAGATATGAGACCTCCTAAAATTGTTCATACATGTGTTCTCTGTTTCTTCAAAACTTTGTAAATAGTGTTTTGCATTTGTAATTTTCTTTGTAGGAATGTGCAACCAGGCAGGCTGAGGTTAGGTTTGAGGTTCCGCCGGACGGCGTCCAACCAACTCTGAGTCCAGAGGACGTCACATGCTCAGTTGAAGGCGCTGCCGCTGCTGCCACCACTGCCAGCGCTGCCACCGCTGCCACTTCTGCCACCGCTGCCGCTGCCACTTCTGCCACCGACCGGACCACCGACGGGACAACCGCCGCCATGAGCCGCTCACGGGGTACCAGCCTCAAGCGGCAGTTTTACCAGATGGGCCAGGTGCACGGGGACATCATGAGCTTCGGCTCGCTGGAGGACTTCTTCCGGGAGCGGGGGAACACCATCGACCACGCCGGCTGGTCCCTGCATCACCTGCGGCAGAAGTTCCAGGCCATGGACATTGAGGATTTATACGACAAGTACTGCGCCCAGATGCGCCAGTCGCTGGTCGGCGTCATGTGTGTGCTGGGGATCCTGTACGGGATATCGCTCATTGTGCTGTTTTTCCTTTACGAACAGGTAAGTTTTGAGGTCAAAGCAGGATTTTTTTCCAATATGGACTAATCCTAATGCTGTGAATTTTGAATAATTTAGGGGTTTTTTTGGTTGGATTCTGGATTTGTTCGAATATTCGAATATTTGAACATTGGCATTGATGTCAAACTTTTAATGAATATCATGTGTATGATGTATACATTGACAGGAACCAAATCGAGGATGACCTACATGTATATTAGAAAACGTGTACAAAACCAATGAGAGCTGTTGCAAAAAAGTTTTTAAAACAAGTATGAACAAAGGAAACGGGAAGAGGAACAATACCAAAATCCTTGATTTACACCATAAACAAACGTGTGACAGTGTGGGTGTTTTATGGCACACTGGTGTTTTTCGTGGGCCCTCAAATTTTTCGAAGGCCCCCGAATTGTTCGTAGGCCCTAGGCAGAGTGCTTACTGTGCCTAAATCTGGTCCTGTCAGTAAAGTGGCTGTCCAGTGTCCACAAAAATGAGGCATTCGACAAACAGTACGGCCACTCAACTTGAGACGGTTCACATTTTTTCCCCGAATATTCTATTGAAATATGCCATTCAGTGGATGGTGGGATATCCGGTATATTAGGCACTGCCCTAAGTAGGTCTAATGCTGTGATCGCCATTACTGAGGTGGCCCCACACTTTCTGTACGTCGGACCATTTTTGTTTACTTGAGGTGCGTGTGTAATTCGAAAACACTTTTGGTTGAAGGAGCATTCAGTGCGTGTGTACCACCTGCGCGCAAGCCTCGTGCAGCCACAGTAAATGGTCTCTAATTGGGATTTTCGAATGAGTCGAGGATGGGGTTACACGTAAATTGCTTCTTGTGCATCAGTACATTTACAGCATCTCGTGATGCAAAGTCCGAGATGGCCATACAGGTAAGGGCACTTTGGTGGAATTTTTCCTCGTGCCTTTGCGCTCAGCGTATTCCTCTGACACTGACACTGACGAAAGTATAAACTCTGCAGTGCACATTTGGGAAATGGTTGCACGCATGGTACGCCATCCACATGCAAATGCATTAAATTGCTGAATGTCTCGTCAGTGTCCAACTCAGAATGTACACGTACGTATGTTAACTTGATTTAATTATGTTGGCATGTAATGTGTTCGTAACTTGATAAAACGAAGTCTTCAAAATTGAGACTGTTCCAGCGTCAGTTGTCCGTAGCACTCGTTGCTGTGTCAGATTGAATTCAGCTCGTCGACCCCGGCAAGCTCAGTGGTCGAGTGGTAAAGATGTCTGTACTGAAGCAGGAGGTTGTGGGTTTGAGTCCTCATCCAAGCAAACTTGTGAATTTTTTTCTCAGTAGCCATTGGAAAAGAATGAGCTTTCTAATAATTCATGATGACAAAGAACAGAAAAATGTAGTCAGTGTTGTAGTCACAGCACAAGTCCGTCACAAGTCCCTGCAAGTCCCTGCAAGTCCATCACACTTCCTTCAGCCTCAAGTCCAGTCACTAACTATTCAAATGAACTGTTACAAAAGCATTCCTTTGTTATTGTTCATCCAGTTCCTTGTGACTGGACTTGTGATGGAATCGACTACAACACTGGTAGAAGTATTACCCCGACGCAAAATTCCCTGAAAAAAAGTTCTGAAGTACGACTCAATAAAAGTCATGTAATCTTTTTTTGCAGTAACATGAAGGCCTATATCTACACATATGTGACAATATTCAAGAGACAAAGTTGTGCGACCTACATGTAATCACGTGATATTTGTAATCAATTTCGAAATGATTGTATCGCATTACCGCAAGACGTCGCATTTGTTTTGCCCCTGGAACCCGTGCCTGAACTGATTGGTTGTAAAAGACAGACGAAAAAATAGCGCCACATATTGCGTATTTGTGGACACATACACTACGTCTGTGACATTGCCGCAAGACAAAGTCCTGAGAAAAATTGCGTATGTGTAAGACAGGCCTATAATTAACGTGCTCAGCAGCTTCTGTCTCCAGTGTCCTTGTTCACCACACTGTCATGTCTTTGTAATGCTGTGTGACCATGAATGCTATCCAGATACGTGCACATGGGGGCAAATTTAACCGCAGAATGCACTTTGACGGCAGTCGATATGAATTACGCCCAAGCTGTCAGAAGGCTAACAAAATTGGGTCTCCATCGCCGTGGCAGCTGACTCATCTTTCAAAAATAAGTTTAAAATCTGACATTCTGACTTCCTTTTTTGCTTTCTCAAAGTCTTCATCCCTAAGATGGCCTTCCTGATTCGGTTTATAATGATAGAATTTCCGGAAATCACATTAAGTGAGGTATCTTGCATTTCTTGCGGGGGTTGCTTGAGCGTTGAAGTACTGCGTCTCAAAATTAGATTAAGAGTTCCTGTATGGGAAGGGGGATCAGTTACCAGAATTGAAGGGTCTAATAGGATTATGTGGAACATTTTTTACAAATACGCTGGACGCATTCGTCAGACATGAATAGCAGAATTATATACAGTCATGCAGTACTTTTACATGTACTGCAAAAAGAAACTTATAATAAATCATGTGTAATTTAATTCTGTCACTGCGGTGATTTCAATCAGGTTTTTGATACATGGTTTCCTGGAACGCATAGAAATGCAGGCATGTACCAGTGGGTCTTCTTATGGAAATCATAGAGTAAGGTGAATCCCATGTTCTGTATTATGGTTTGTCTGGCAGTGGCAAGCAAAGCAACTTGCAGTGTCGACTCCTTGAATGTTCAGACAAGGAAATGTCCCAACCTTTTTTTCTTTCTTTAATTTTTTTGGCCAAAAAGTTTTGAATTTGAGCGGTGGAATTGTGTCGTCGGAACATTTCGTATTTTGTGCTACATTCCGAGTATAGAAATTTTACGTAGCAAACATAGGGCCCAATTTAATGGCTATGCTTACCACAGAAACAAAATTCCGCGCTTACGATCACCATTCTGTGCTAACACTGTAAGCACAAAATCCTTAGTTGCAGGCAGTGGTGGCGCCAGACTCTAAAATTTGGGGTGGAAATTTTGGGGGCAAGGAAATATTTTTGGGGAGCAATTGACATAAGACAACTGTGTAGTTGTTTTTTATGAATGGGAAATGTATCAAACTGCAGAATGGTGAATAACAAATTTATAACACAATGTACAAAGATGTTGGCTGCACACTATCTACGGCTGTATAAATGCATGTGTGTCAAGTTTTGTCGAAAGTATCCATGTCTGTAATGCGTATTTGGCCCAAAATGTGTCCAAATTCAATAAATCTTAACAGCAAAGAAAACAAATATCATGCATCTATTTGTTGGTAAAGTGTTGGGAAAAACTGGGGGAGGGGGGAAAACTGGGAGGGGGCAAGGAAAATGCCCCGCATGCCCCCTCCCTGTATCGCTGCCATTGGTTGCGGGATGTACATGTATGCATCCACATTTGCCGAAATTCCTTTCTAACCTGTGAAACATAAGCATAGAATTTTCTGCTACAGTAAGCGGGGATTATTCGCTAACAGTAAGCAGAGCCATGGAATTAGGACCTAATTTCTGAGCCAGGGTGTCAAGTTATGTGCATTGCTCGTGACTGGTCTCAAATGAGTTTGTTTAGCTCATAAATTTTCTAAGCAACATTTTCTGGGTTTTTTTCTGTGAAATTTGGCCCAGAGATGGAGTTGCTACGCCTCAAGTGCGAACCACTCTTAAGGAAGTACTTGTGTTCTTGACTTGAAGTGATTTTCCACTGCGATGTCAGATATGAAGTGTACTTTATTTTTACGAACGTCCAATGAATTTCTGCTTCAGCAGGCATAGGACAGAATTAATGGATTTGTGTTATATTTGATGAAATGTATACACGCTAAGGTTTTGCGGTATTCGGAACGAATGACGGATAAACAAACAAGGAGCAAGGCCGGAAGTATCTGTCTGCGACCCGCTCGCAGCAAGCGAGGCTGGAAATATCAGGGTGTGCCTGGGTCCGGTCGATGTCAAAATAATCCCGGCGCGATTAAAACAACCCCTGAAATGTGTACCCAAAAAAAAATAGCAACTTAACAAATTTAACACAAAAGTTTCTTGTCACAATTTTTTCCTAATTCAAAGTACAGCTTGTGATGTTTTTTTTATTTGTGGATATCCTGTAGTAAAATTGTTCGGCTAGATTTACTGGAGCTAATTCTGCGCTGTTGATGAGGTTGAAACCAAATTCAGTATGTTCTCAAATGAATACTAAAATGGAGAATCACAGGGTAATATGTTGGCGTATGCTGCACTGTTTCCCCACAAAGGCCGCTCGTGCGCAAAGCCGGCAAATATCGACCCAACAACACCAATATGATTAATTTCATACACTCGGCCTACATGTAGGTAAATTTGTCAGTTGCATATCTCTTGTACTTCTCTTGTACTCGAGTTTATTCCAAGTCATGAATTTGATTGTTGAGATAGGAGTTACATCACTGCGCATACGCTGCCGAGCCGTACGTTCCTCTATAGTTCCCATCATTCCTTGCCTTGGGGGCTTTTCTGGTCAAATATAATCAGTACGAGCCCGAAGTTGACAGTCAAAGCAAAGGGAATTGCTAGTTATAAAGCTACCCCAGACGCTACGCATTGACTTGTTTTGACAAAATCGCACGCTGCACGCTGCACACTGCACACCAACCAGGAATTACTACTCTCCTTTTGTGAGCCACAGACTATAAAAATAAACCTGAGATTGAAGGCTTTTGTTGACTCAAAGTGTACTATTTTTCCTTAACGTCAGGATGTCTCGTGTGTGATTTGAAAAGTATCCACATATCCCAAGGCAGTGACAAGTTTTACTAAGAAATCCAGGTGCTTGTTACTTAAGAACTGCTGTAGGAAGTTTGAAAGTTAATCCAATCATCAAATATGCCACAGTGTGTTGAAAAAAGTTTTTAGATTTGTCTAGACTTCAATCAATGCTAAACATTTTTCTATCACGACTAGTTGACATGGATTTGGGGATTAAAGTCATGTTTAAATCACTTTTACGTCAC